GGTTTTTAATGTGTAAATGGTACTTATTTTGAAATTTATGCGTAGCATGTAAGTAGCAGCGATGGAGGTAGAAAGCGAAATGTCTAGAATGCTGGAGGAGTGCCTACTTGCGTTCATGTGCATCCATAACGAGGACAAACAGGATAATGAATATAAGAAGCAACAGCTCTAGAAGCATCATCCGTGGCGAGCGCGAGATCCTGCTGCGGATGAAATGAGACATGCGCCTGAAACTGCAAGTGTTCAACTACCGTGGAATCGTGGGCTTCGCTCTTCCTTGGCAACTAGAAAGAGTGGGGCGGTTTAGTCAGGTCTTGGAGGAGCTTTGCGTCATTTAACATTCTCCGGAATAAGAAAATAGTTTTGCCTGGGTTGTCTGCTACAGTATGAACACTTTGAAGGTATGGGCCTTTAGCAGTACTTTAATAGTATTCGTCCATCATCAAAATATCAAAGTCTTTTAATATATGTAAATGAGTGTCACTGCAAGGACCACCTCAGGGCCATGAGTCGTGACTTTAGGCATTTCTGCATGCTTATTGTCACTCCGATCGCATTCGTAGAGGTCCAGATTAAAGCCATGTAGTAAGCCGTGCATACCTTGCTAAGTTATGTTTCCATAGACCAATGATGGCGGCGCCAGATGAGAAAGGCGCTTGTGGGAAAAGCCCTGGTAGCGATCACGAATTGGCACTAGTGCTCGAAGAAGAGTTATGGAATTGCCAGTCCGTCGTTGAGGAAACTTTTGCATTCATGTGACTTGTTGCGTTGCAAGTTTATGTTTTGTGAAGACTTGGTGGTGACTTTGGATGTCGTGCAATCTTTGGATCGTACTACTCCTACAGACATTCAGCAGAACGTGTTGCGTAGACCCTTGCTGGCAAAACGTCGATTGTGATGACCTTGGACCGTGAGATCTTTGGGTCAGATTTCAGTGGTACAGAATTTCGTTATGATACCTTGTGTCACTGTTTGTACTTGGCGATGGGCAATAAACTGGCACTATCTGGCGGCGGTTCGTCTCTTTCTCATGAAGACCATTCTTTAAACGGCTGACGAACTGAAATCTCACAGCAGCAAGTCTACTTGGAAGACCGTTATAGCTATATTAGGGAACACAACAAGCCATCCAAGCTATCTCATCACATTCATAAGTAATTTTCAAAATTTATGAAATTTTTACAAGCATCCTATTTCGGGGTCTCGCGTTCGACAACGGAACTTGAAGCTGCAGTGTCCGCATCTTTCAGGAATGACGAGGTCAGGAAATGTTGCAGAGAGGGGCGAAAACTGCCGCACCACGTTAACGTCGCAGGCACTGGTCATTTTCTGGTGCAAGCTGGCCAGCGGATACCACAGGCATTGTTCTGTCCATGGCTTCCAATCACTGAACTCTGGACATTCTTTCGCACCTGAAACCTCATATGTACAGCACTATACTAGCATACTGTCGACGCTTACCTAACGATGGGGCTAAAAGAAGGAACAGTCCTGCGAACAATTTCATTTTCCTCCACCACTGAATAGAGAAGACTTCGATCCTCCGTAATGTGCTTTCTTGCTTTATATACAAGTACCCTGGTTTTAGAAGAAGATTGATGTGGAACAGTCGCTGAATTGTTACATGTGCGCCATCTGACATGTGACAGCCGTCTCGTGGTTCTGTGAACGAGGGAGAAGGGGGGGGGGGCAAAAGCGTTTACGAAACAGCAGCTGTGCAATGCTTTATTGCTGTTCGATGAGCGATAATTTCTTGCGCATCGTTTCAAATTTCCCATAATCCATAGCGTTGTCAAACGTAACTCATGGTGTTGTGAATGTCTTCTCACGACCCTTTTCATCACGCAAGCCAGAATTTAAAATTAACTACCGATCATAAGAATAGCCGCAAGTTTCATTATAGCGGTTATTAATTTAGAAGTAGTTTTTAAATTCTGGTGCTAAATCTATCAATCCAAAAATAAGATAAAATTTTCTGAGTTAAGCACTGTACACAGAGATGGAAAGTTTGATCATTCGCAAGTACGCATACATATGCAGTCGCATTGACGGAGTACTGGTCCGCTTTTCTTCGTCCTCATTTCATTGGCCTCTTCCTGCCTTCCGCTTGCAGAAGCTATGTC